CCCTAATACTTTTTCAGTATAATGGTTTTTCAGTACTATACCTGTACAAATTATGTATAGATTGAACACACGCTCGTAGTAAGCCATGGCACTAAATTTGCTGTCCACAAGCCTCTGCGCAGGGACTGTGCACCCATGCCTGTGAATCCTCGGATGGATCAGTTTGCAGAATCAAGACCAATATAAAATGCATACATTTCAGTAGAAGCGTGCTTACTTAGCTGTGCTATTGGCATGGTCTTGTGCAGAGTTTCAAGTTTAAAACTTTATTTTGAGAAAGCTGTATTTATTAGAAAACTGAATAGAGAAGTGGAAAAACGCCAAGATATATTTTGTGGTGTTCACGGTTTTTTCAATTTTTCCTCGATTTGAAAAAGCCAAAATCAATTTGCTGAGGCATCTTGATGATGATGTTGTAAATGGCAAAATGATGTTTGTAGGGACAAACATCTCAAGAGACTTAACCTTTTTGTCCCTGAGAACCTATTTTGTAGACTTTGACTAAGAGCCGTAAAATTTAAATGGTTTCATGCACTTCCAGTTGAGGAGCCTGTACGTGGCTTTTTGTGACGTAATTTTAAAGAAGTTGTCCTTCATGCTGTACTCCATTTTTTTTAAAAAAAGAAGGGCAAATATAAAATACATCTGCAATTGAATTTTCAAATAATTTTTGCTCTTCCTGTCCAATTATATTTTATTTTAAGATGGTTAAGTATAGCTGTATGAAGTTGTGAACTGATAATTTCTTGTCAACCTAATTTCATAACTCGCTGCTTTAAGTGTAGAGCAGGAAAATGACTGCCAAACAGTGTGCTGTTCAAGGTCCCATCTTTTCATTGGCTTGTTATAATTGATGATCCTGAGTTCCACATAGACCAGCGACAATGCAGAATAACATCTGTAAGTCAGGGCTAGCTACTTTTTCCTCCTCAACCAGTTTGCTTATGAAAGAGATTCAATTCCAAGCTTTGTGGGGTATAAGATATGTGAATAAATGATGATTATGGTTTCAGGTGTACATTGAGTTGCTCTGGTAATTATCATTACCTGAACAGTACAAGCGGTCATAGAGATAGCAACAGAACTAATATTCAAATATGACAAAAGCGGACCACGGTTTCAACCAGAAGCTATTAGATTGGGAAATACCGTGGGTACTCTACTTAGAAATATTAATTTGAAGCTTTGGCTTTAATCGATGGAAAACATATTCATAGTAGCAGTTCATTACTTGAACTGTGATGCATTATTTACATGCATTAACCAAAATTGTGTTGTTCTCGGGTTTTATTTAATTTCAATTACTAGAATTTCACATATTTTTAAAAAACGCTGTCATTGATTGTACAATTCAACAGTGGTCATACTGTGAGATTATAACTATGAGGTAATACAGTATTGCTGTAAAAGCAATGATACTATTCAGGTGTGTTTTTCATCTTAATACACTGTTGTTACAGAAATACTGTATTGCACTATATTTTTCTTGTACTTTGAGAAATGACATTTCAAGAATAGTTTATAATCTCTTAGCCACTTATGTTAAAAACAGGAAGGGAAAACAAATTTCCTCTTATTCCTCAGCCCTAAACAGTTAGCTTGTGTCTTTTGTAAGTGTGTAAATAGAATTTAGATCTCATGTTTTTTGTTTATTAAAAAAAAGTGCCAGGCATGAGGACATGCACAGGAAAAGATTCAAAATCACAGTCCCAGGTAATGGGTTCTACCAGTGATGCACAAGTCAGAATAAACACCGTTACCCTATTCTGCTGATGTAAAAAACCAAACCAACCCAAAACCCAACCCTGTCTCTTCTCATAAATGTAATGAACTGAATGAGATAGCTACAAGGAATTTCACAGAAAGAGCAAAGTTGTATTGAGAAGGCAGCATATTTAAGTAACCTGTTTTCTCAGTATGGGTACAGTTTAGTATGTGAAACATTGTGATACAAAATAAAGCAATTATCTCTAAGGAAAGAAATTTGTTCAAGGAGATTTGCTCAAGAAAATTTGCCAACACCATTTATCAACAATTTGTCAACGCCAATATGATGCACTGCATCGATGCTAACCCTCTTTGGGTATAGCTTACAATAGGTCACCAAAAGACTACGTTTATTTTTAGAGGGGTTTTTGCATTTGGCAATTTTATAATTCTCAACACATCGCATGAAGCAAAGGACTATTGTGGATTCAAGAATATGCTTTGATATCTGGACATTATGGCAGAAAGGTTCTGTTCATCTATGTATCTGTCAATTATTTCCTGGGAGCTTTTTCTCAACTAATGGATACATCAGCATTCTCCCTTAGCTCAAGTAGAAATTTCTCCGTGGGAATATTAGTGGGATTCTGGAAGAGCTTAGCTGTTGAGCAAAATACTGATATACCTCATCTACCGCAGACAAAGTGGGGGTTTAATGCATTTTTCTACTGAGATAGCAGACACTTCCTCTGCAGCTAGGGCACCAGTATTAAATTAATATAAAGATCTTTCAGAAATGATAGAAGGAGCACATTTTAGAAAGTATCATCGTTGCTAGGCTATCATTTGAATTCTCAATGTCCTTCATTTTCTGAGAGTCATGACCTGGCACTGCTGGTGAGTAAGAAAAAGCATCTAAAAGAAAATGCATTTCAGTTCCACTTCATATTGCCAACTTCTCCAGTATTGTCCTTCCTTAATGGATTTTGAGCTTCGTCAACAGGAGATCTTGAATATGCTGGACTCTGTGGAGTATTTATTACATTATTCAATTGTAACCTTTGTACCGTACCTGCAATTCTTCTCTTCCATTAGGTTTAATAATATTTTAATATAAAACACTGTAAATACATATAATAATTCTGATATATTTAATTTGTGCTTTATAGCACAAATGTGTGTATGGTTGTTGATCACATCTTTATTAATGAAAGAGTTAGCAGTTACAAAACACTGAGGTATTAGTCATAGGACTGTGCTGTAGAGAGTAGTGATACCTCAGTCTAGGAGAAAAAATTACAGTCTTAATAGGCATAAAAAGCCTCTAGGGCATCAGATCTGTCTATTAGGAAGCAATAAAATATATTTAAAAAAAAAAAAGTTTCTTCTCACTGCAAAATTAAATGACCACACTTAAGCGTGAAAACGAAAAATCTCATAAAGGTTGTGTCTGATTAGGTATCCTACAGATAGAAATTACAGGGTCAGTTCTAATTAATCATTTTTAAGATCTGATTTAGGTCCTAGAATATGATTATGGTGATCAGCAAATAAGATTAATGTCTCTAAGCCTGGATCCACTGATTATTAAATGCTGGAAGGAATATTGCCTAAAATTGTTGTTTTGAGGTTGTTCCTTTGGGGATTTCTCCCTTCCAAGTGCAGTGATTTCATACAGTCACGCACAGATCTGAGGAGGCAAAACATTTTAATTGATCTGTATGCAATAGCCTGCCACTGTTCTAAAGAAGGAAATAAATTTTATTTTGAAACTCAGATACAGTTTGCAGTAAAATAATGTGAATCAGTTTGCTACCATTTCTCTTCATTATTGTATCAAATGCTAGTGGTTAATGATGGAAATGTAATTTGATTTGATTCCTTATGCTGTGAAGTGTCATTAATGTATTCTTCCTGTTGTCAATCTCTATCATTTGTAATCTCAGTTTGTATATTTTTCAATTTTAATGCTGCATTAGTTCAGTTACAGGTTTAGTCAAATAGTTTCCTTTCTAGTCCACTTTCATGTCTTAATGTAAAAAAGAGATTCTGGCTCTGCTAATTTGTCTGCTTACACGCTGAGTAACAAATTTTTTGTAATAATAGAATTGACATCACAAGTTAAATTTTCCTGTCCATGCAGAGCAAAAAGTAAATCAGGAATTGGCACCGCTAAATTAGATTGCTACATCTGCTAGCTGGTGAAGGCCTGTCTGTTACTACTTACTTAAATTAACATCTATTTGCCCTCATGATTGGTACATTACAGATAAATAAAACTTGTTAGAACAAGTACACTTGTGTTATCATCACATTTTTATCAATCTTTCCGAAAAATATCACATACATTAGCTCTTTGTAAATACATGTAAAAGAACAGGAGGGATCTTTGGCAGGAAGCATCACAATTCTTTGGACCATATAATTGAGTCTTTCAGCATAAATCATTGTAATAGGTTATATGATTTCAAGTATGTAAAAATCTAAAAGCTGTAGCATTAGAAAAATGGAACATCATAATATTTTAGTGCTTCTTTTCACATCTCTGTG